GCTGTTTAAATCACTGTTTTGCGAAGCTTAGGTCCTGAAAACACCTGTTTTGCGAGTGCGGAGGCAGCTGTCAAAATTCGTCCTCTAGCGAAAATCGGTTTGCAAAACAGGGACCAAACATTGGCCAGTGAAACTCCCCCATAGGAATCACTGTTTTGCGAATCACTATAGTGATCGCAAAAAGTCAATGTCTAGCGAAAAAACTGTCATGCGGGGTAACTGTCTAGCGAGGCACCACTGTAATCTGATGCAGTGGGCTGTCCAGATCCTTGACAATAAATAATATTTTGATGAAGTTTCAGAGGGCTGCTAATCCCATACCCATGCAACACTGGTAGATTCTGTATCTTCTAACATCAGAATTTCAGAGGCAAAGAAAGAGTTGAAATCTCAATTTCTTCTTTGTGCGTCACGTGCACATGAAACCACCTCCTCCCTGACTCTCAATAGCTAGTTTATATGTGGAGGGAAGGAAATGCTGGTGGTAGCTTCAAGGAAATTTGAACTAAACATTGAAAAGAACTTCCTGAGAGTAAAAACTGGCCAACAATACAATGGACTGCCTCAGAAAGTGGGGGACTCTCCATTGGTGGTTTAAAATAAAGGTTGGGAGCCATCTGTTGGTAAACGTTTAGCCTTGCAAGGGAGCTGAAATTGATGATCTTTGGGATTCTGTCCAGCTCCATATTTCTTTGCTTAAACAGGCCAAGATTCATAGACCTTTGTGAATACTTCTTATGTATAGAAAGAAGTTACCACAGTTTAAAAGGAGTAAAAATTTAAGAATTATTGTCCGTCACAGAATCTTATTGATTTTCATTTGTCAGATACCTTGCTGGAGCATTACAGATGTGTTTGTTCATCCTTTTGCTTGGCTGTCTTTTGAAAACAGAATTCTTACTAAGGGGAGAAACATTAATCTGAAATTCAGATTGGTGGATTAAGTGGCAGTATATGGACATTTAATGGAACATCAACTTGCAACTTAAATATGACTTAGAAAAGTAATTATTGGAAAGGCTAGACATTCTGTTGTTTGGCAGTTGTTCCAAAATTATCTTATCTGATCAAGTTTGTACGAAAATGTGGGAGAAGCATGCTTTTTTCTAGGAAACATTAATGGTTAGTGATAAGCAGGCTCTATTGGACTTAGATTTGACAAACTGTGCTGAAGTTACATCATTATCATGGATATTTTTGTCACGTCCCTGTTTCTCAGTTTCAGTTCAACCCCAATAAAAATAAATAATTGTGACTGTGTAGATAGATGTAAAGCAGTGTAAATAGTCACACCTAAATCTGCTGACGAATCTTTGAATTGTAGCAGATGCAGTGTTGGACTAGGATTTAGGAGATTTGGAGTTTAAATCCCAGCTCAACCATGGAAACTTACTGTGGTAAAAATATGTCTTAAATATCACATGTACTATGGAAACCCTGCTGGGGTCAGAATTGACTTGATGGCACATAGCATACAAATTTGTTAAAGAGCACATTAAACTGTGTATGAATTTATTAAATGCTTCCCCATAAAGGAGAAACCACATTTTATACAGTTTGTATAGTTTTGTCTTATTATGAGAATAAAAATGAAGTGGAATTTAATATTTTTCTCATAAGTCTGTCATGAACATCTTTGCTCTTCCAGATGTTATCAGACAGTAGTTCCCATCAACTCTAGCCAATGTAATGCTAGAAAATATGGATGTTCCAGTCCAACAGTATCTAGATGGCTGTAAGTTGGCTGCCCCTGCCATAAACTTTTCAAATGTCATTTCTCATACTGGATTCAAAATAAGTTGTTATGCAGCTTCCTTAGGTGATATTGGGGGTGGGAGGGATATTATGATGCCCAGACTCTTTGAATGATAGAGTTATAGTTCCTGCTATAGTAATTGGAAAGAATGTCTTATTCAAAGGATTTGAACTACATTTTGATTTTGAAGAGATAACCACGTTAGTCTCTTTCATCAGGTGTAAGGTTTTTTTAAAGTATTGGGGCACATTAAAGACAAAACAAATTTATTTCATTATGGGCTTTTGTGGGTTATGATCCACTTCCTGGACAGGAATCGCTCTCTGTGTTTGAGGAACTAGATTGTGATATTTAACACTAGATGGATTTCTGTGTTTTGTCTAAACTTCACATAAAGAACAAATTAAACTGTTTCCATCCATTTTGTTTGGAGATTGATTTTTTCTTTTTCATAGAAAAATATAAATAAGTCAGTGAAGAAGAACTTCATGACAAATAGTATCATGCTAATCTGAGAATTAGCAAGTGACTATAATAATTAGGCAGGTTTCCCTCTGCATCAGAGGTCTTCAGACTTTGGCCTGCAGGCCATATCCGGCCTGCCATGCCTTTTCATCCAGTATGGGCATAGGAAGAGGAGGGAAGGAGGACACAAGCGATCCCTCACCCCTTTTGTCTTTGCAGAGCAGGAGCAGGGGATTGCTTGGGTCCCCCTTCCCTCCTCTTCCTATGCCAGGGTGGAGATAGGAAGAGGAGTGAAGCCTGATCTAAGCAATCCCCCACTGTCTTTGCAAAGACAGCAGGGGTGGGGGATCTCCCCTCCTTTGGCCCTTGAAAATGTATAAAATATATGATGTGGTTCTCATACTGAAAAGTTTGGAGACCCTGTCCCAGATACTTCTTTGAAAGAATGTAAATATTGCAAATACAAATATGGTGCTCTTCACAGGCTAAAATTACCATGTCAAAATATTTTTCAGTCCCTTTACTTTTAAATATTTTAAGTTATAGCATAAATTTAAATCAATGTAGTTTCAAAGTGAAATTTTGATGTCTAAAAATAAATTTTCCATGGCATTCTGTTTTATTTTTACATTGCAAAATAATTCAGTTAAAAGCAAGGTTCTCTCTGAGGTGCCCGGCACTGTGAGTGTGCACGACTCCACTGCACAGCAGTTGTTTCCAGCCCCTTTGGTTCTGGTTGAGACGGAACCCCATGGGGGTGGAGTCACATGCTCAGGGGCAGAGTTGCTCATGCAAGGGGCGGAGCCCTGCCCAGCAAAGCTGAAAATTAGAGGGAACATTGGTTTAAAAATTTCAGGTTCTTAGAAAAAAATTATGCAGCATTTAAAATAAATGCAACATAGTCTACCAAATGGTATTCAGCCAGCCCAACCAGTTAGGGTATTAGACATTCTTGGAAACTATTGATATGTCCTTTTTTGCTAAGATAACATTACTAGCTTCTACTTATCTAGTGTTCAGGCATTCAGATACAGTATTGTGTAATGCAGTGTGCCCAAGCTACCAATTATTTCCATGTGTTTTTGTTGCTGTTTGTACTTGGAAGTACCAAAAATATTTATCCCTTTAATTTTTGTTTTGTTTTGTTTTTCTAGTGTATTTTTCTGTTGTGGACAAATTTAACAGGTTTGCTAATAGTACAGTAGAACATACAGGAATGCAAGTTTCCAGCTTATTGATACAATAACTAAATTAAGCTATTGTTCATATTCAGTAAAAAAAAATTCTGAGCAAAAGTTGCTACAGTGGAAACAAGTTTAGAAATTCAGATATGCTGTTTGGGAGAACAAGGTGATGGCTTCTATCTTTTCTGCAGGATTTTACATATATTTAGGACGTTAACAAAACAAAAGAGTTCCTGTAATGTGTTTCCTGTTATGTCCTGATTGTGCAAATGCTTTGGTCACTTCATTGTGCTTGCGCAGCTACTTTTGTTTCCATGTTAGGTTTAACTGTGTTGAATAAGCATATAGTCAAATGTTAACAATAAAAAATTGCTTGTTTTTAAGCCACCCTTTTTTTTGGCTGTTAATGGCATATTCAGGCACAAAGGACAAAAATGTATTCTTGTTCATTACAGTCTAGAGCTATCTGCACTGGGGGTTTAATGGACATGATATGTGCATGATTCTTGCATAATTTCATGTCATCATTGTGAATGTGAGAGTTTGCTCAACTGAATGAGCTCTCTATGAGCAGCTATTGCATTTTTCAGTACTATTACGAGGAAGCAGTCTTTCTAGCCATTTTAAATGGGGCAGAACCAGGCTTGGGACAGTGAAAATTGTATTAAAACTACTAGAACTGTTTATTTTCTTCTTTTTAAAATTTTATGCAACAGTAGAATTCTTCATTGTTGATACACAGAATGTGTGGTTGCATGTGGTGATGGGAGAGGATGATATTCATAGGAAAAAGAAAAAAGGCAAGATGGCAAAGACTGCAGATGTAAATGTAGAACAATACTGCAGTACTTGCTTTCTGGTATCTGAATAAGCGGATTTGATACATGAAAGTGCACACTGAAATAAATCTGTTAGTCACAATGCCACAATATTTTGCCTTTCTTTCTCTTTCCTTTTTCCCTTTGGAAGAAGCGGTTTCATCTGTATACACAGCCCCCATGCATCCTCAAGCACCAGAACAAAGTTTCTAAAAGTACAGATGATTTAAATTGGGATGGAAGAGAGGGAGCTTCTCATTTGAGGTGCTTACATGGAAAGGAAAATCACCTGTTCCTAGATCTCTTAATGAAGTTTCTTCTGTCAGCACAGGTACCCACTCAAATGTGGGCCAGCATTTTTATCTGTTTATAGTTTAAATTCTTCACTGCATGTGCTAAGCACACACTTGAGATTAGATTATTGACAGTTGTCCTTTGGCAGTAAAACCTGCTTTGTGCTTGGGGTATGGGCATTTGAAATGGCTGGCTTTGAAGCAGCTGCTGAAAGCACTTTCCAGCAAGCAACTGCATGTATCTTAGCCTGATTTCAAAGAGGGAACTCAGTAGAGGTGTTATATTATGCAGATTATACAGATATTAGTTGCAGGCCTGGTGTGACATAGTTCCAGTACTTTGTCAGACAGAATGTTCTGTTTGCAACTGTACAAGGTTTGTGGAATCATGCTAGTTAAATAAGCTATTTTGCATCCATCTCCATATGTTGCTTCTGTGTTTCCTGATTTTGGCCGAAGTGTAATGGCTTTGTTTTAATTTTAGGGAGAAAGGAACAATGGTTTTGATGTCCTCTATCATAATATGAAACATGGGCATGTATCTACAAAAGAACTAGCAGATTTTATAAGAGAAAGGTAAGTCTCTTTGGCATTTAGACCTCTGTGAGGATTTAAAAGACTGTGGTATAGTATCCTAAACCTATTTCTGAGCCTTAATTTCTGATGGTAAGAAATTTAAGCTGAAATGTGTTCTGGTTTTACTGCTACATTTTAACTTTAACTCTGCCAGGAACCTTTAAAAAATATGTTTGGTTCTTACACTGAACAGAGATTCCCCATCCTGGCCTTAAGTATCCCAGCTTTATTATTTTAATCCATCTTTTCATGTGTGCCATGTATTCATCATCTATCTCCTGTATTTTATTATTATTTGAAGTGTTTTTATTGTTTTCAACTGATTTTTACTTATTTAAGCTCTTTTTGAGAAAAATGACATATCTGTTAGCCTTATTTTGTCAAAGTCGTAACATATTCAGTGTCTGTAAGAGCTGTTGTGCTAAATTCTTTCAATAAATCACTTAAGTTTTTCTTTTGCATGGAATGCTCAGTAGCAAACAGGTAGACTCATTAAGGTTAAATGAGAAGTTTTAAAATCAATGCAGAAATAACTTCCAACAAAATTGGACCTTTAAATTTAAAGACGTTAAGGAAAGCCTGTTATGGGATAGGTATGGCATATTTCTGTTACTGAACAGTTTTACATAAAAGCTGGTTTAAGCTGGTACATCAAATGTAAAAAAGTACAGATTGTAGCTTGCTGAGAATAATACAGCACAGTAAAACTTTATGTAATGTGTTATGGGTCGAAAAAAGGAAAAGTGATTTGAAGGAAGTTTGGTTCTTACTGAAACAACATTTTCTTCATAATGAACCTAGCCACATGACAGCCCACTCTTTACTAGGATTTCAATTTTCTTCCCGCATCCTTCCTTAGCTGAATGACAAATACTGAACAGCTTTTGCTAATGTTCTGTTTCTAACACGGCAGGGTTCTTTGTCAGTATATGCCTTGTAATTAATAATAAAATCCAGATAGCTTTTCTGGAAATGGTCTAACCTCCTAGGTGGAGCCTCATTTTTCTGAGAGATGAATCATTTTGTCAATGTGGTTCCTGAACTATAAATTCTGTGTTCTGCAGATCTGTACACACTTTCATAGAGCATGTTGAAACTTCCCTTACTATATCCCTTAGTAAGTGTGCAACTGAAAGTGAGAACTCTGTCAAAGGGAAAATAAAGTTTTCCTTTTGGTAACTCTACAGTGCATCCTGCAATAGCAGCACCAGTCTTTATTATTATAATTATGAGGAAATTATAGCACAGCATTTGTTTATTGTATTGAAAGTTGTATTTTAAGTAGTTGATCAAAATTAAAATGAGTTGTGTATGATTTATCCAGAAAAGTGTACTGTTTCAGGTCAAGCTATCTGCTTCCATGGTTACAAGGTGACATCTGGAGATGGCAGACACAAGGATTTTATAGGCAAGCCTAGACTTGTGATGCTTAATTAAATACCAGAGCCTTGTGAGTTCTTTTTCCATCACAGATTACTTCGTGATTTATATAAAATGTGTAAATTTACTCCCTCCCCCCAAAATCCGAACAAGGTCCAAAACCTGTATTTAAATTCTGCCACATAGGATTGGTATTAGCATATGCTACCTGTTTGCATTCAAGCTGTGTCTAATACAAAACATGATGAATACTGTAATTTGAATCACAAGGTTCATTCTCCTTGAGTAGGGTCAAATATATCTTGGAGTCATATCAGTTTACTGATGTATGATGTCTTCTGTCTGTATTCTGAAGTTGTCTAAACAAATCTGAGACCTTTTTGACACTTAGAGATACTTCTTAGTCTTGAAATCCTTTAAATAGATTCAAGTTGCTTTCAGAGGCATGTCTCACTTTCTGTCTCTTGCCTGTCTGTCTTTCTCTCTCAAAAATTTTTGTTGGAAAACAGCTGCATTAAGATGTCACCACAACAACCCTTACACTAGAGAATCAACTGTCTAACAAATCTAAAAATAGTTACCTTCTAGAGAGAAGTTTCTGTAAAGTATATACAGTAACAGATCAGATTGTATAGAGGGAATTTGGTAGAATGGTTCATCTCAAATTGTTTATGATTTAGAAGGCACAAAATATCAAAGAAAGTGGTGCCTATTACATTAATTGACATTCATGATAATCATAATTATGTACTTATTCAAGCTAGTGTTAACTGTGAGAAGATTGTCATGGGTCTGGTTTTGATGCATGTAGTTCTACATCCAGGAGAGATCTGACTTAGCTATTTGGAACATCACTTTATTTTTATTATATGTTTGTGTTGCTTTTCTATTACAAAAATCTAAAGCAGTATGTAATAACAATTTGATAATGTTTTAATCAACATCATCAAACCAATTTTGATAGCAAATCATCAGAAGAGTTAAAAACAATTTTAAAAGACTGTTCAGAAGGAGATAGAAATCAGAATGTCTTAAATAGCTTGGACCTACCATCTAAAATAGTAATAATCGTGCCTTTTGAATATGAATAGAAAAGATAATTAACAGATGAGTACCACCGCTGACGAGACCCTTTCCAGTCACAACCTACATGATGTTTGAAGTTAAAGTAATCTGGTGAATAGTCTCTGAAATAGATCTTGGAGATCAGACATATTCATGATGGACAGATTTTTTCCCCTGAATAGAGAGAAGCAGAACTTTTTAATTAATCTAGAATCAGAAAAAAGAGGATTTATTAACATGTAATGTAATAACAAAAATCAGGAGAAAAAATAGGATTCAAAGCTTATGTCTGAGTCCTCTTGAGTGAAACAGTCTCTCAACTTACATAAATGTAAGTTTTATGTACAGTTGTGCCCCGCATAGCGACGTTAATCCGTTCCGGATTAATCGTCGCTATGTGGAAACATCGCTAAACGGAACGGAAAACCCCACAGAAACGCATTAAACTTAGTTTAATGTGTTCCTATGGGGCCCTAAACTCACAGTTCTGCGATGTTCCTCCATAGCGCCGCCATTTTCGCGCCCTCGGTAAGCGAGGGCAGCGAAAATGGTTGCGGCAGCCATTTTGGAACCGCCGATCAGCTGTGTGAAAACGGGGCCTTTGGGAGGACCAAAGCCCCCATTTTCACACAGCTGGAGCACTCGCAGCGAAAATGCTGCGAAAAAAAACACACACACACAGACACAAACCACAAACATAACCCCCACCCTCCAAAACCCACACCAAAAATTTTAAAAAACAGGACTTACCAGTCCGAAGCCTCCCGGTGTTATGCTGGTTCCGCGCGGCTGGGGGCGAGCCTGCTCTAGCCGCCCGGCACTCCGCTGCCTTTGGAGCTTTCAAAGGGCTTCCTCCAATGTTGGGGAAAGGCCTTTGAAACTTCTGAAGGCACCGATCGCGGCGGCGAGGACCCCCAGGGAGGTCTCCCATGGTGGCGTGCAAGCCCTGGGAGACCTCCTTGGGGGTCCCTGCCACCGCAGTGGGCGGCTTCGGAGGTCTCAATTTGAATTTCCCGCCCTTTCTCCCTGTCTTTTTGCCTTCTGAAACCTCTGAAGACAAAAAGGCAGGGAGAAAGCGCAGGAAGTTCGAACTTCCTGCGCTTTCTCCCTGCCTTTTTGGCTACGGAAGCAAGCCAGGGAGGAATCGTCCCCCTCCTTGCAAAGCAGCGCTTGCAATCAAAGGAGCAAATGCCAGCTGGCTGGCCGGTGCTTCAGAGCGGCCGCGGGAGAGACCTCGCCCGCGGCTGTTCCAACGTGCCCGCCCCGAAAATGCCAGCTGGAATACCCGAGCCTTGCCCTCCTCGACCCACCCCTCACCCTCATCTCCGCCGCCACCGCTGGGTTTCGGAAGCCACTTCCAAAGCCCAGCAGCGGCGTCGGAGAAGGGGGGGAGGGGTTGGGAGGAGGGCGGCCGTGATCCGCGTCGCGGCCAGCTACCCCAACCATGGACGGACTCCAGAGAGTCCATCCATGGATGGGGAAGCCGGCCGGGGGGCGGATCCAAGCCCTGGATGCCTGAAAGGTATCCGGACCCTTCCCATCCTGCTGCCGCCACTTGGATCAGTCCCTCCCTGGCGAGGGTAGGGATCCCGGCCGCGGGGGCAGGGTGGGAGGATCTGGATGCCTTTCAGGCATCTGCAGGGGA